GTACAGTGATATCTGCCTGTTGTGTCATCAGACAGATTTAATGCATGCACACTTTCTCACTCAAAGCACTCCGAGGTCTTTTTAGTTTGACATACTGTACAGCAAGTCATTTGCAAGTAGGCCTACTTTTGGGCTTTAAAAATGTCACACTGCTATTTGAAAGTAGGGCATTCCAGCACGGTGCAAATTTAATTTTTTACAAATAATAGCAGGCGTGTATAGCTATATATAATAATTTCATTAACCTTTTCTTAGTTCAGTGTCTCACCCTCAAGCTTTCCTTCATGCCTTTTTCTCTCTTTGACTGTCTAATTCCATGACCAACATTATAACTCATTCGCTTAAACCCAGTATTGCCCTCTGTTTAGAGTCAAGGCATTATTACTATGACCTCCTAAGCAGAAGCTACTGAGAACCAAAGACCGTCGGTTGTGCAAGCCTCCCTCCCTCCCCTGCCAAGCCCCCGGGGGCTCGATACACTGTATGTACACAGCATTACCTCACCTCCGCTAGCCGCATGTCTCGCGTCTCTAGAAGAGCTTGACTTACAGACACGAACTGAAAGAGAGAGGGAGGGAGATCGCACCTGAGAGGGAGAAGGGCAGGGTTACGCAATGGCCCTGGGATTGCTTAACCTTCTCACTGCCTACAGGAACTATGTCGACACATCAGGCTGGGAAAAACAAAGCACGGTTGAGAGGTCACTATGGTGACTATTGGTACACAAACCTGCCATCGCATATTCCAAACGCCGATGGGAACAAATGATTGGCTTTTTAAGGCATTGTTCACCCATTATGACATTTCTTCTGTGAAATATAAAAGGATATGTTTTTAAGAATATCCTTGTCGCTGTATTTTAACAGAATTACAATGAATGGGAACTGGAGATTCCAGACCAGCATTGTTATAAAGTCCCCATGAAATCAAAATTAAAGTTTTTTGGGTGTTAGTATCAATAGGTTAGTCTTAAGGTTATCTATAAGGCAGTGTGCTCCAAAACAGTGACAAAATTCGCATTTAGAAGATATAAGCATTCAAAGTTTGCAGTTCGTCACTTCCGCCAAAACGGCTCAACGATTTTTTTGACGTCGCATCGTACTTCAGCTTCTCATCAAACTTTCTGTCCAATCAAATGCTCTCTAGAATCCGAAGCGCCCGCCCCCTACACTATAAAATAGAAGCGGCTGAAATCAGTCACTCGTCCACAGAATTAGTATTTTCTGTACAGTGGATGGCACGTAGTGCTCTATATAGGGGACAGGGAACGATTCAGTGTAAATATGCTTTCCATTGAGGAAAAAAAATAAGTGGTTTCGCTCTGTGTCACGCTAACCACCGCACCGCACACACACTCTGCTCCGGTCCAGAGACACAATAGCACGGAGCGGATCACATGCG